TATCTATCTGTCTGTCTGTCTGTCTGTCTGTCTGTCTACCTACCTATCTATCTAATGGAGTACTGGGGATTAAACCCAGGACCTTGTGGATGCAAGGCATGCACTCTACACTGAGCTATACTCACCCCAACCCCCGACCACCACTCTTTTTTAGACACTAGCCCAAGCATGACCATTGGTCCCAAAAGAGGCTTTCATGATGTTACATGTAACTCAAAAGCTGTAATGCTGTAGGAGCTCCAATGATCTCCTGCCACAAGACCAACTAGTAGGAAAATGACCCCTATTTTTAATAAGATGCTTTCACTAAAAACACAAATACAGCCACCTTGCAGTGAACAGGTCAACTTACACTGAAAAGTGCTGGGACGGCACCAGTGCTTTTCTTCACTATAACTAACCACCCCATAGTTTCGGGTACTTTCATTTACTGATACAACACACTACTTTTGGAGCTGGAGTTTCATCCCCCTACAATGTGGAATGAAAACATGGGAAATATTTTAAAAGGACCTGAAGCCCTGGCAATTTCAAGGCTAAACTAGAAATGACATGTTGGACTTACTCACAGTGAAAATCTTCCCAGACTGAATGATGCTCCCCCTCGGCACATGTCTCCCCACAGCTGGTTTAGGACACTGACATCTCAGGGGTGAATGGCACTCCAATCAGCTATTCTTCCTATGCTCTGCCTTTGCTCTCTCTTCATGGGGCTACAAGATGGGCTCTTTTGGCTCATCTGCCAAGGACTTTGATGGGTTTCTCTAGCTAAGGTCCTTAACTGGGCACACGCGACAATGTCTGGTGACATTCTGAGTTGTTACAACTGGGCAGGTGCTACTGGCATCTAGTGAGTAGAGGCCAGGGACACTGCTCAACATCCTACACAGGACGGCTCAGCACAACAAATGCATCTGGTCCAGAATGTCAACCGTGCTGCGGTTGAGAGACCCTGAGCTAAACTAACTGGTTGTCGGATGTGACTGACACCTGACTTGGC